TAATGCAGTCAAGCTGCTGGAAAATAATTCCATGAAAATCAAAAAATAAATAGATAAGTACTCTTTGATCATTCCCATATTGATTTCAATTTAAGAGCCACCGGTATACAGCTGTTTCAGCCTATTGGGCATCGTCAGTACCGGGCAGGCGGTCCTCGATTGAAGACAAAATGAGAAAAAACCAAGAAAGCGATTGATAAAAATAGCTGCGTAAACGCAAGCGAAACATAAGTGGAACCACCTATTGGTAGTTATATGTATATTTTCTGATTTCTCATCAGTTTTTGCTGAAAAAAAATTGGAGGACATCAAAATTTTCAATTTATTATTTGCAATTCTCAGTGAGGTTGTTTTTTTGCAGTAAGTTCGGCAGTAACCACGGGACTAAGGTGGGTCCGAGTGAACGTACCACAATACAGGGTACCAGGCGAAACAGCGATGCTTCAGTGTGACTATGACTTGGGTAATGACACACTCTATGCTGTCAAATGGTACAAAGACCACGAAGAATTCTACCGATTCGTTCCGAAAGCAAAACCACAGGCCAACTGGTATGAAGTTGAAGGTGTTCACGTTGACGTGAGTACATATTTTCCTCTTTCAATATGTGAGGTCACTACAGAATTATTGAAGACATCAACATGCAACTCTTTGAATGAATTCAACTTCCACGTGATGAAAATTATTGAAATTATTCACTGAGGGCAAGATATACCTATACGTTTAGAGCTTTTCGATGTCTATTTTTCATTGATGGGTATAACATTTTTTTATATTCTTCTTTATATCTATCATGGGTTATGCATACAAATTATTTATACAAATATATTTATACAAATCATACAAATCATTAATTCATTATACATTATTCATCTTATATATTTGTGCCTTCCATCAGACGATAGTCGACTGTTGGATTGTCTTATCTTCAGAATCGTACGCTATTTGTAGTATACAAAGGACACTGATCAAAAGAATTCACTTCAACTAGTGGTGCTCCTCAAGGAAGTAATCTAGCTCATCTTCTATTCTCATTGTTTATAAATGATATTGTTTCAAATATCTTATGTTACATATTACTCTTTGCTGATGACAAGAAGATTTTCAGACCCATTGAATCAACCGAGGACTGTCTTATTCTGCAGAAGAAAGTTAATTCGAAACAAGCTTCTACTGAATATTCAAAAATGTAAATTTGTGAAATACACCCTCAAGCACAACAATATACAGTTTGACTATGCAATAAATGACGTCATATTAGAACAAAGCACAGAAACTAAAGATCTGGGCATCATATTCGATAAGAAACTTAGCTTCACGTCACAAATAAATCAAATCACATCTGAAAAAAAATGCTTGGCCTTATCTCCAGGATGTGTAGAGACTTTCAAAACCAAGAATTTTTCATAACAATATTTGATGCATATGTCCGATTTCGTCTGGAATATGGCTCCCTAATCTGGTCACCTATAAACAATGTGTATATACAGCAACTCGAACCTTGTCAAAGAATCTTTATGAAATACATGTCTCACAAACTGGATGGAGCTTAGCTATCCCAAGGAATTGATGATAGAGTGTTGTTAAATAGATTTGCCCTCTTATCCTTAGAAAACAGAAGAGCATATTATGCCTTCATATATAAATTGATTCATAATCTGGTTGACTGCCCAGATTTGTTATCTCAACTAGATTTTCACGTACCAAGATGAAGTAGTAGAAACGAAATATTTTTCTATTTGCCTTTGCCTAGGATCAACGTTTTAATAAAATCCCTAGTTTATAACATTTGTAAAATTTATAATAGTTTCTATTCAGAATGTGATATTTTTGTTGTTCCATTTGGACGGTTTAAGTACCTATATATTTCGTAACAAATTATTTTTTAGGCAAGTTGAACTACAATCTAATTACAATCCATAAGTGAAATACTGTGTTTCAACTCTCTGCACACTGCCAATTCTATTAGAATTCTACAGTATATGCTTTTTTTTATTATTCTTATATGAATGTATCACTGTTTGTATGATTTACTATTACTCTGCTGATTGTATATGCTATCCGTTATATTCCCTTGTGCTCATACTTAGTCATAGCTGTTAACTTAATTATATTTGTCTTGTAATTGGGATTCCTCCTGTTAGACAGTAAACATTTTTTTTGTTTTTCTTTTTTTTCTAACATTTATCATTACGCAAATAATACTCAAGTGTACTTCTCTTTTCAGTTCCCTGACATTGATTCCGCTCAAAACCTTATTAATCGTGATCTACAGATTATCTTTGATATTTCTCAGCTCATAAATTGATGTTAAACCCCTTTATGATGTTAAACTGCCTTTTTCAACTGAAGCAGAGAACTTAGGCCTGTGGTTTGATTCTGAACTGCGTTTTACAAAAAGTGTTAGCCATTTGATTCAAACGTCTTTCAACACCTCAAGGCAACTGTTTCCAAATCGGGACTCACCAAACAACCAAACTAAAATTAAGTGAGGCGCTAATCATATCGAAAGTTTCATTTTGCGATAGCATTTATGGACCTGCATTACTTCAATCTGATTGACCCCGTCTTCAACGAATCCAAAACAGTTGTATTCGTTTTCCTCTTAGCATTCGAAAATACGACCACATATAACTGTTCATGGAGGAATCAGGTTGGCTACAACTAGAGAAATTCAGAATACTTCAGCTACTCACAAACACTCACAAAGTCTTGAAGACCAATATGCCGCATCATTTAATGAAAAAGTTGAAATCTTTCGCAAATATTGATAGCTTTTCCACTAGAAACAGGTCGGTGCTAGTCATTTCTAAACACAGGTCTTCTGTTTCTACTCGCAGCTTCTCATACAACGCAGCTCTACAATCTCCTGCCCAGTGAATTCAGATCCTACACATTGAAATTCTTTAAAAAAAAGACTCAAAGAGCATTTATTTTAGTAGTTCTCTTTCCTCACGCTGACCGTGGCTCATGCGTTTACACAAAAGGTTTGGTGGTTTGAAAATGTATGTATGTACTGTAATTTTGAATTTGAAAACAGCTTTGCTGACACTCACCCTCATTCACCTCAATATTTTTGGTATATTCTGTATGCTCTCACTTCAGGTGAATAAAGACGTTTTATTATTACCTGTATTATCATTATACAGGAAAATGTGAAATGATTCCAACAAAAATCAAAAATACTATTAACGGGATTGACAAACTAATCCACCAGATGATGGGTCATGAAAAAAAACAGACTATGCTTGTAAAAAACAATAAAGTACTTCAGGTTGTTTTGTCGGATATTGGGGACACATTTGCTAATACTTCCCTACAATCAATTTTTCTGGCGTCGAGGAGGAGAGGGGAAATGATTTCATACTCACTTTTGTTAGAAAATAGTTGACATTGTTTCATAGTGAATTTTACCAGTTCGGACTCCCATTGTCTGATGTGATTCTAATTTGATTTGATATACATGAGAGAAACAATGAATAGCTAAAATATCAATTATATTGATCAATATGAGCATATGAAATAATCAAGATAAAGAATTGAAATGACCACAGAGTTAAAATAAATGAAGGGGAATGAAAGTAAGCAAAAAATTATTTGTATTTATAGATCATTCGAGCGCTTTGGATTATCACCCTATTTGCTCTCTCCACTTCATCGGTTTAGCGGGAGTTGACTGTTTTTTCGGTTGATCACAGGTTTCTATATGTTGCGTATCTCTACGCTAGTTTGTCTGAATGCGTCTTCAGACAACATATATGCAGCTTCTTTGAACTTTCTCTCAAACCAGTTTTTCTTCCTGTGGAAGGTCTCAGCTTGGGACCACTTGATTTTATAATAATGAGTCCAAACAAGCTCTGCTATGGTTTCTCCTCGCTGTGTGTGTTTCTTTGTTTGAATATCTTTTTTGATTATTCCAAATTTCTTTTTGAACTTCTTCAATTTCTACTTGAACTGTTCCTTCAGTTTTAAATTTATATCTTTCAACTCTGTGGTCATTTCCATTTTTCATCTTGACTATTTTATCCGTTCCATTGTATTTTGATTTTCATATAACTGTCATTTCAGCTATTCATTCTGATTTCAGTCTCTATTATTTTTAAATTATTCATTTTCTATTGAAGTTGTGCCATTTCTATCTTATTCTACAATTCATCAGCTACCATGTTGCTATCTGCTACTGAGAAAAAGATAAAAAGTCGGAGATTATCATTTCTTTCGACGGGCATGTGCCGAACACGGTCTAGCAAATTCAATAAAGAACAAAAGGAAACATTTGTCAAAACTTGCGTCACGATTTAGAAATTCCAGTCCGCATTTTTCCATCCTTTCCCCTAATAATCTGCCTTGATCGGTGGGATGTGACTGGATTGAAAAGAATTTACTTACAGGGTTGTCACTGTGGCAGAAAATTCCCTCACGAAACAGCCTGACATATACTTTGCATCCATTTCTTAGGGGAATTTTCTACTTTGAATATTCACTGTACAATAAGGATTGAGCATATAGAATTCTACTGCAATAGTTGGGAGAACAGAACAGTTTAACGCAGCACGTGTATACAATAGCAGCTATACAATAGCTGCATCAGGCTCATTCAGTATGAATAAACTTTTCATGTCAAATATATGAACGATAGCTATTTCACCTCTACATTGATTAGGTTACGTTATTATACTCATTATATCAATCATTCTGTTTCAATGGTGACATACAACATGTGTACAACTCAATGTTTATTGATAACCGACAAAAAATACGTATGGTCTGACAGTTTAATATGTTTTCGTTCAAAATATTTCATCCGAAAATCCAATACAAATTGCTCACAACTGTACAGTTTCGAACAACTTGAGTTTGTTTTGAAGAAAAAAATATTATATATGAATTTTCATTGGGATATGACTCTTTTTCCCTTACAATATTTTTTTTATTTTCGCGAAAAGTTTCTCTCTAGCAGTTAGCTGAACTTTCTAATTAGGTTCATTCCGATTTTCACTATAACATATTCACAATGTTCTGTTACACAGGACACGTGTCACGGTTTTGTGAATCTTTCATTTTCATCAAGTACCGGCCATTTCCATTAAATTTTTTGGCAATTACCTCTTAGCGGCGCGAAATTCATGTGATTGAATAATCCCTGCTGCAGCATTTTGAAGTAAAATTTTCTCTCAAATTATCATCATTTAAGAGATTGATGATATCAAAAACGGAAATGTGTAATTCATAAAGTAGACCTCCTCACCACAAAATAAAAACGTAATTGTTAATTGAAAAAAATATTTACAATAATATAGATATATATTTTGCACTGTTTTGAGTAGGAGAAAAATCATTATATAGGATTGAGTGACACCAATGTTGAAATATAGGAGGGTAATGATGTCAATGTTTTTCTCTTCAGATACACTACATAAAGATACGTAATTATCGTATTATTCATTCTGAGGATTATCAGGGTCGTGAAAATATGATTCATCTGATTATCGAATTACTGAAAGTATCATGAATATCAGAGAAGGAAATTTTTTTATTATTGGGAAAAAAATCTTAATAAATGATTATACAGTGTCACA